CAGGTTCTCCTAACCTTTTCTCTAACTACCTTGTAATGTTTCTCTTTTCAGAGTGTACTAAGGAGGTTTAAACCACTGCTTGACAGAGTACTGGTAGAAAGATTTGCACCAGAGGTGAAGACGAAAGGTGGCATTATGCTGCCTGAGAAATCAGTTGGTAAAGTTTTAGATGCAAAAGTTGTAGCCATTGGACCTGGGGCTAAGAATCTTGTAAGTTTTGTCATCAGGATTGTGGGTTTTGAAAAACAAAAAAAATTAGGTCTCTTTTGTTTTGTTTTTATTTGAAACAAAGAAAAAAAGAGGTGAATTTACATCATCTTGTTCGTATGTGGGCAGATCAGCTTTCTTGATGTAACAGATATATGAAAAAAAAATAAACGCACCACCACAATGCTTTTTTAAGAAACGAATCAGAAACTGATTTTTTCACAAATTAGTGTAAATGGTAAGTAGCCATAATTACTGTGATAATAATTTATTTTTTATCACTGCAAAATTTTTGTCATGTGATAATTAAAAAACAGGATTTTTTGTGAAAATCCCTTGGTCTTCAGAATCCATTGACAAGTTTTACTGACTAGCTAGATTCACAAACACTTTTCACTCACAATTGTTCTTGTTTACAGGAAGGTAAAGTAGTTCCAATGAGTGTGAATGTTGGAGACAGGGTATTACTTCCAGAATATGGAGGAACAAAAATCACACTTGACGAGAAAGTTAGTATATTTCAATTGTTAATGTGTGTTGGTGGTGGTGTCTGTCATCTCATTTTAATTGCTCTCTGAAACTTCTGCAAAGTTGTGTGTTATGTTTGATTTAATTGCTGTACAAATTGTTTAGTAATTTAGTAATCATGATGTAGTTGATGATTTTGAAGTCATGAACACGAGTCCACTCCATGACCTGGCAGCTTTTGTTACATTCTTAATTTTAACAAATGTTTATTTCACTGAAATGTTCACAAAATGGGTTTTCTGTGATTTTCATGCGTTCAGCACATGAAATAAGCTAAAACCTGTACTTCTGTGCCAATGCGACACTGAGATGCATGTCTGTTCATCCACCCACTCTTTAAAGGAGCTTTTCTATGAATTATCCTGTTTTCTGCATAAACTGCATGCAAGTTTTAAACAACTTATCTGATTGTATATTTTATGTTTCTTCGTTTTAGGATTATCATCTGTTCAGAGACGGTGATATATTGGCAAAATATGAAGCAGAGTCTTAATTTATGTAGAAGTATTTATGTAACAATGCTGTAGATATAATGAGATCATTTATATGGCAGACCTATTGTAATAGATGTCGCGAACGAGTTGCTCACATACCGGTAGTACACTGTATACTTTCTGAAGTTGAAACCAGTCATAACATTGATGACAATTACGTTATGTGATGTGAATTATTTCTTACTTTGGTGCATTTTTTTTAAGTTTAATAAATAGTTATTGGACTAAAAATTTGTGTTAACATTTAAATGTATTCTTCCAAGTGTGTTAAAGATGAAGATGAAATGAAGAATTATTCCCAAATCTAATCTGGCATCAAGAAATTAATAAGTATCTGTTCTTGTTTGCATGAAATCTTGGCGTTACTTGTTTGTGCCAGAATAAAATATAAATCCCCCCCCCCTCCAAAATTCCAATTCAAATGCTTTT